TTCCGGAAACAAACCAGATTCCTTCTCAAGGTTTATTCATCACATGTTACTATTTGATCAAAGTGTCTGTAGTGCGATAGACTGGCGACCTGTCCAGGGTAATCCCGCCTCTTGCCCATTGGCAGCGGAGATAGGCACCAGCATCACCCGTCACCCCACTTGGGACAAGCGTGTTTGAAAAAGGATGGAAAGTGTCTGTAATTTGTTTTGACTCTGACTACTTTCCTTTATTAAGTAAAGAGAACACACTGTGCCCAAAGCAGAACAGGGCTGATTACCATGAACTGTTCTCTCATTGCAGAGATAAAAATAAAGTGTCGACTGAGTGAAATCCGTCGACTACATAGTTGAATATTTTTTTCCCACTGCACGCTTCATTCAAACAAAGCAACTAAATCAATAAAAGCTGTTTTTTTTTTCATCATAGAAAAATGTTGAATAAAATGAAAGGAATTAGATCTGAACACTTTTTAAAATGAAAAGGTTTTCTTTAATTGAAGGGAGGACGTTAGCCTGAATAATTAAATCCCAAAAACATATTTTCTACAAAAAAATGATATATCACCCCTCTACAAACAGGTATCCATTTGATGGGAATTTTATATTTTTTTTAAATATCCCATCAGCAGGAACATGCAAACGGAGGATTAGTGTGTAGGGTTATATTAAGATTGATCACCTCCTAAAGAAAATCTAATCTGTCTTTACGTTTATTAAACATGGAAGGTTCAGAACATCCATATCAGGCCCAGTCAGGGACCCATGGGCCCCTCAGAGCCCATGGGTCCCTGACTGGGCCTCTCTATGAAACCTGTCTGGGTCCACCTCTGTAGCCATCCTTCACAGAGTGGGAGCTATTCATCCATCCATCCATTATCTGACATGCTTGTCCTGAGTGGGGTAACGAAGGGTGCTGGTGCCCCTCCACAGTCAATGGGCGAGAGGCAGGGTCCACCCCAGACAGAGGGGAGGGTTCCACCCTGGACAGAGGGGAGGGTTCCACCCTGTACAGAGGGGAGGGTTCCTCTCATGAAACGAGGACAGAAGGACCCACTATTCAGGAGAGACAGTCAGTAGGAAAGTTCAAAGATTTATTAAAATAAAAACAAAACAAAGCGGAGCTGTGGCTCGCGGACACTGCAGGCGGGGGGCGGGGCACCGCCCAATCTCAGACACTCTGGGTGAGAAACACAGGTAAGTGACCACGATCAACTGATAGAAGATTAACTGTGTTGGTCACTTGCCTGGTTTAACAGTCCAGACCACGAGTGTCCCCAGTGCTGCAGTCCCAGAGGTGATGGTGGAAGCTGATCCTGGTGAGGGATCCAGAACAGACAGGAACAGACAGAAACAGGCAGGATCCAGATCAGGCAGGAACAGAAACAGGGGGCAGGAACAGAAACAGGGGGCAGGATCCAGACTTCCAGGCATCCACAGGCTCCCAGGAGGGTTCAGAGTCTGACTGGGACCAGAAGTATGACCAGTTGGTCACGCACAGGAGCAGACAGGATCAGGTGCAGACAGGCAGGCTCAGTGGAAGAGGGTAGCTGAGACAGGACATGGAACCGGAATTTGAAGCAGGACTTTAAACTGGTCTCCTCCCTGGAGCCAGGCTTACTTTGATAAAAACTGAACCTCCCCACATATAGAGCCAAAAACCCAGAGGACTCTGCGGGGAGGAACAGTGGACGATCAGGAGACGAGACAAACACAAAAACCCTCTTTCCACTGGCAGCTAGGATCCAGGACATGAACCAAATAAAAACTGAACAGAAAGACTGAGAAAGACAAGTAATGATCTGGCACTGAATGCTCAGGCTGAACTGAATATAAACCAGAGGAAACAGGTGAGAGGAATAAATTATAATTGAGGCAGGGAGAGGAATTACTAATTAGGGAGGAGCAAACAGGCCAGATCATAACAGTTCCACCCTGGACAGAGAGGAGGGTTCCAACCTGGACAGAGGGGAGGGGTCCACCCTGGACAGAGAGGAGGGTTCCAACCTGGACAGAGGGGAGGGGTCCACCCTGGACAGAGAGGAGGGTTCCAACCTGGACAGAGGGGAGGGGTCCACCCTGGACAGAGAGGAGGGGTCCACCCTGGACAGAGAGGAGGGTTCCACCCTGGACAGAGAGGAGGGGTCCACCCTGGACAGAGGGGAGGGGTCCACCCTGGACAGAGAGGAGGGTTCCACCCTGGACAGAGAGGAGGGGTCCACCCTGGACAGAGGGGAGGGGTCCACCCTGGACAGAGAGGAGGGTTCCAACCTGGACAGAGGGGAGGGGTCCACCCTGGACAGAGAGGAGGGTTCCAACCTGGACAGAGGGGAGGGGTCCACCCTGGACAGAGAGGAGGGTTCCAACCTGGACAGAGGGGAGGGGTCCACCCTGGACAGAGAGGAGGGGTCCACCCTGGACAGAGAGGAGGGTTCCACCCTGGACAGAGAGGAGGGGTCCACCCTGGACAGAGGGGAGGGGTCCACCCTGGACAGAGAGGAGGGGTCCACCCTGGACAGAGAGGAGGGTTCCACCCTGGACAGAGAGGAGGGGTCCACCCTGGACAGAGGGGAGGGGTCCACCCTGGACAGAGAGGAGGGTTCCACCCTGGACAGAGGGGAGGGGTCCACCCTGGACAGAGAGGAGGGGTCCACCCTGGACAGAGAGGAGGGTTCCAACCTGGACAGAGGGGAGAGGTCCACCCTGGACAGAGAGGAGGGGTCCACCCTGGACAGAGAGGAGGGTTCCACCCTGGACAGAGAGGAGGGGTCCACCCTGGACAGAGGGGAGGGGTCCACCCTGGACAGAGGGGAGGGGTCCACCCTGGACAGAGAGGAGGGTTCCACCCTGGACAGAGAGGAGGGGTCCACCCTGGACAGAGAGGAGGGGTCCACCCTGGACAGAGAGGAGGGTTCCAACCTGGACAGAGGGGAGGGGTCCACCCTGGACAGAGAGGAGGGGTCCACCCTGGACAGAGAGGAGGGTTCCACCCTGGACAGAGGGGAGGGGTCCACCCTGGACAGAGGGGAGGGGTCCACCCTGGACAGAGGGGAGGGGTCCACCCTGGACAGAGGGGAGGGGTCCACCCTGGACAGAGAGGAGGGGTCCACCCTGGACAGAGGGGAGGGTTCCACCCTGGACAGAGAGGAGGGTTCCACCCTGGACAGAGGGGAGGGGTCCACCCTGGACAGAGGGGAGGGGTCCACCCTGGACAGAGAGGAGGGTTCCACCCTGGACAGAGGGGAGGGGTCCACCCTGGACAGAGAGGAGGGGTCCACCCTGGACAGAGAGGAGGGGTCTATCCTGGACAGAGAGGAGGGGTCCACCCTGGACAGACGGGAGGGGTCCACCCTGGACAGAGAGGAGGGGTCTATCCTGGACAGAGAGGCGGGGTCCTCCCTGGACAGAGAGGGGGGGTCCACCATGGACAGAGAGGAGGGGTCCACCCTGGACAGAGAGGCGGGGTCCACCATGGACATAGAGGAGGGGTCCACCCTGGACAGAGAGGCGGGGTCCTCCCTGGACAGAGAGGCGGGGTCCACCATGGACAGAGAGGAGGGGTCTACCCTGGACAGAGAGGCGGGGTCCACCATGGACATAGAGGAGGGGTCCACCCTGGACAGAGAGGCGGGGTCCACCATGGACAGAGAGGCGGGGTCCACCATGGACAGAGAGGAGGGGTCCACCCTGGACAGAGAGGAGGGGTCCACCCTGGACAGAGAGGCGGGGTCCACCCTGGACAGAGAGGCGGGGTCCACCCTGGACAGAGGGGAGGGGTCCACCCTGGACAGAGAGGCGGGGTCCACCATGGACAGAGAGGCGGGGTCCACCATGGACAGAGAGGAGGGTTCCACCCTGGACAGAGGGGAGGGGTCCACCCTGGACAGAGAGGCGGGGTCCACCATGGACAGAGAGGAGGGTTACACCCTGGACAGGTCTCCAGTCCATTGCAGGGCAAGACAGAGACAAACAGGACAAACAGCCATTCACACACACACTCATACCTAAGGAGAATATAGCCAAGTCAATTAACCTTCCAGTCCTGTTTTTGGACTGTGGGAGGAAGCCGCAGTACCCGGAGAGAACCCACGCATCCTCAGGGAGAACATGTTAACTCCATGCAGAAAGACTCCAGCAGTGCTACCCACTGCGCCACTGAGCAGCCCTGGAGCTATTCAATGAAACATTATAGATGGTGTCCTTATTGCAGTGCGGGGCACAGCCCCCATGGGGGAGGACACCTTAGAAATTTGTAGAACGACAAACTTTGTGAGACAAAATCTATTTATGGAAAAATTTGTGCAATTATTCAGTAAAATAAAGGCTTACATTTCAAAAAACGTTCCAGGTCAGAGCTTCATGTTGACAGATATTCATGACATTCCCCAACCTGTGAATCAGAGCAGCTTTGAGATCGCTTCCACCGACCTCCAGCACCAGTGGGGGACAGGTTTATCTGATCCAGCTCTCCACCATCATGACTCCTCAGCTCAGCCTCCTCCTCCTTCTCCTATCGGACACCAGAAACCAGGAGGAGACTGCAGGGAGAGCGCTGCTCTGCCGGGCCACCAGGAGGGGTCGGTGCTGGTCAATATAACCAGCAGGGATCCCCATGATCCTGCCAGAGACTCTGGCAGTTCCAGATGAGACCCAACAGGACAACCAGAACCAGGTAGAACTTAATTGACCAGAAGTGATTGATGAGAAGAACCTGGACAGAGCGGACCCAAACAGATAAAACAGAAATGGTTCTAGAACCTGCTTCAAACAGAACCTCCTCTGTTCTTTGTTGTTCTGTAAAGAAGCTGCAGGAAGCAGGCGGGTTAAGCTTCCTTCTCTGTCATAAAACACCAACAAAGTGAGAAGTTTGTGGTTAAATGATGACGAATCGTTTGAATCTGGATCCAATCATCAGTTTCTGCTCCGGCTTTAGCTTCGACATTAAAACCAGACTTTAGTTCCCTGAATCTGCTGCCTGCTCTCTGAGTTCTGAGGTTATCAAACACGTGTCACGTGATCAGCTGCTTGTGTGTAGCTCCCAGCAGTGACTCTGTCAGGGCGTCGACAGCCAGACCAACCCCCTCTCCCACTGACACACCCAGCGCTGACTCAGTCTGCAACCCTACACCGGCTAACTGCTGGCCACAAAGCCTCGGAGCTCACAGCAGCTGGATTCCACCCGGCAGAAAGTTCCGGACTTTTCTCAGGATGAAGTTTTATCTGAGGATCCTTTCCCTCCTTCTGCTCCTCGCTGCAGCGCTGACGCAGGATGGTGAGTTGCTGGTTTCCACAGCAAGGCTGTTCAGGTAGGGAGGGGCAGCGGAGGCAGCCCTGATGTTCCTTCAGCCGCGGTTGGCATACAGTGGGCCGGACCATGACAATGACACAGCGTTACCATGGTAACATGCAGAAGAGTCAGGGTAGAGCTGTTTCTAACGGGCTGTAGATGGAGCAGATCCAGGAGACCTTCAGCAGGGCCCAGGAGAGGGTCCTGGTTCCCCACAGGCCTTTACTTCAGCTCAGGTCTTAGTCTCTGATCTCCTCAGACATGAAGTCCTCACTGGACCATGTCCTCCAACTGGAGGACGTCTGTGGAGGCGTTTGGCTGGGCTATTCCTGGGCACCAGCGACCTACTGAGAGGAACCACGGGCTGTTTTTGTTTTTTGGTGAAATAGCTGCCCGGCTCTGAGTGGTTCCAGCTAATCTGGACCAGATGAACCATCCCTGGATGTAGAAGTTTGTCTTCAGCTTTGAAAACATTCCAGAGGATCTAGAAAACCTGCGTTAGAGAGGAGAACCCAAAGTGGTGATGAAGGGCCACAGAGAGTCATGCTGGGATAGACCCCAAACAGAACCTCCCTCCCAGCAGAGCTGATGCCTTCAGGCGGACGGCTGGAATGGAGGAGGCCTCCTGAGGAACCTTCGGCTCAGAGAGATCCCATGATAGATGATGACTCATCCTCTTTGCTCCGTAGACAGAAGTATAGCGCTCAGTTTCCGCTTTGGATCCGTGTAGCAGAACCCAGACAGGAATCCGCTCCTTCTGGGACGTGAGGAGACCCACAGGCTAATGGGTTCCTGTGCAAAAGATGAGGAGCATGTTGTCGGGCCTGGGATCTAAAGGAGCGTTCCAGGAACCACCAGCAGCTCAGATGGTCAGAGAGAAACTAGAACCCGTTGGTGGTTGGTCCAACCGCGGAGAAGAAGAGGTGACCAGTCTTAGACCAGGCCCGGTCAGAGAGCAGATGTTCAGCAATGAGAGGTCAGCTTAGAGAGAAGGGAACTGAGCAGCGGGTGAGGGGCAGGTCCTCCGGTATCAGAAGGGTAAATAGAAAGGAAGAGCTGGAGGTATTAGTGGTAGAGGAGGTGATCTGAGGTCATAGGCTTTTATATTCCAATAATAAAGCTGGAAAAGTTAGAAGGTATTATTGAAAAGATGAGAATACGTTATTTGGTGTGGTACCTTTATGGGGGTGGACAAAAAACTGTATTTGAGAGTAAAAACATAAAATCATTTTCCAAACCTCAATGCATCTTTTATGGCTAAATGTTTTCTATCAAAAAAATTTCCTCAGTCTCAAATAACATCAGTCTTTCAGTCTGGTTATCTACAATACAATGATTTTCCCCTTTCAGTTCACTGTTTTTCTTTAATTTAATAAAAAGGTTTTCATAGAAGGGCATCTAAGTAACGATAAAAAAAGGCCACAAGGAATAAAGTTTGAACACATTCAGGAAACTAGCAACGGTCGAAATGTTCAACGTTTTTTTTCCCCAGCTAAGCATAAAAAAAGCCTCTTTAGAGATTTTAATTTCAATTTCTTTTATTTCTATAGCTCCAATTCACATCATGTCATCTCAGGTTTATAGATCCAGATCAACCAGTCAGATTGATTCAAAGTTTTCTATCTAAGGAAAACCAGCTGATTGCATCGACTCATTGACTCTTCAGCAATCCCTCACACTAAGCATGCTTGTAGCGACAGTGGAGAGGAAAAACTCCCTTTGAACAGGAAGAAACCTCCAGCAGAACCAGGCTCAGTGTGAGCGGCCATCTGCTGAGGCCCACTGGGGTTCAAGGAGACAGAAGCAGACATAGAAAGAGCAGCTGTAAAAGGCGGCCCTTTTTACATCCTTTAAACTCTGACAAGAAGTAAATTGTTTGAATTTTAGTGACTAAACTATGTAAAACAGATTAATAATCACAGAAATACCCTAAATGCCCTCTTCCAGTTGAATAGAGGGTCTAAATTGGTTTGTCTGTCTTATACCCCTTCCCCACTGTCTGAAAAACCGGTTTAAACCTACAGCAGTAGCACTTGTCTGGTCCTTGGATGGTTTTTGGATGTTTTTTGGCTGGTCCTTGGCTGGTCCTTGGCTGGTCCTTGGCTAGTCCTTGGCTGGTCCTTGGCTGGTCCTTGGCTAGTCCTTGGCTGGTCCTTGGCTGGTCCTTGGCTGGTCCTTGGCTGGTCCTTGGCTGGTCCTTGGCTAGTCCTTGGCTGGTCCTTGGCTGGTCCTTGGCTAGTCCTTGGCTGGTCCTTGGCTGGTCCTTGGCTAGTCCTTGGCTGGTCCTTGGCTAGTCCTTGGCTGGTCCTTGGCTGGTCCTTGGCTGGTCCTTGGCTAGTCCTTGGCTGGTCCTTGGCTGGTCCTTGGCTGGTCCTTGGCTGGTCCTTGGCTAGTCCTTGGCTGGTCCTTGGCTAGTCCTTGGCTGGTCCTTGGCTGGTCCTTGGCTAGTCCTTGGCTGGTCCTTGGCTGGTCCTTGGCTAGTCCTTGGCTGGTCCTTGGCTGGTCCTTGGCTGGTCCTTGGCTGGTCCTTGGTTGGTCCTTGGCTGGTCCTTGGATGGTTTTTGGATGTTTTTTGGCTGGTCCTTGGCTGGTCCTTGGCTGGTCCTTGGTTGGTCCTTGGCTGGTCCTTGGATGGTTTTTGGATGTTTTTTGGCTGGTCCTTGGCTGGTCCTTGGCTAGTCCTTGGCTGGTCCTTGGTTGGTCCTTGGCTGGTCCCCTACAATTCCTTTTTAAACATCAACTTTTGCACTAAAGTATTCTTTCTGTCATTATTTGTGGAGATTAGGACCTAAAGAGAAGCGCCATCTCCTGGTCAGACCCTGTAATTCAGTAAAAGGGTGGAGTCAGAGGAAAAAAATAGGCAAGGCAGGGTCACTCCGATGGCTGGAAGTTTGACTGGGAAGGGCCAGTCACAAGGGAGTGGCGGCCTTTATGGGAGTGTGAGTTCAATCCCCTACTCCCACAGCCTGCCAATCTGGGTCCCTGAGCAGGACCCTTAACCCCACACTGCTCTCTGGGCACTGCACAATGGCAGCCCACTGCTCCCCAAAGGGGATGGGTTAAATGCAGGGAAGTAATTTCCCTCTGGGATTATTAGAGTATATATAAAAAGTTCTGATTTCCTCTTTTTATGTAACCTGAGGCCGGTTCCTAGTGCAGCCCCAGTTTTTCACCAGTGGACTCTATCAGAACCGGCAGAACCGGCTCAGTTAAGCCAAGGCTTCCAGCTGAAAATAGCCTGAGCTCAGAAACACTAGCAGATGCCTCTTTGCTCTCAGTGTGACTCATTCTATGTTTAGTGTGTCTGTGTGTGGCTCACTGCAGCCATGGTAACCGGGCCAAACACTGTAGGGCTCCTTTCTGCACTGTAACCAGGCACAGCTCTACTCAGGTCTACCCCCTCTGGGTCGGCAGGACCGGGTTTTATCATTCCTAAAGTCTACCTACCAGAAGTTTTCATCAGTGGCGCCTTTAGAAATGTTTCACTAAAAAGATGGGGTCACTAAAAATATTGGGGCCGCCACTGAAACTAAAGCCAGAATTCCAGGGTTTGAATCACCTATTGTGGTAAACCTGCCTGTACAAATCATCAGACTTCAGTAAACACCTACTCATACTCATACTCATACTCACTTTTGGTTTATTGTGTGATTTTTAATGTTATGTTTCTTGTTGTGCAGAATGGGATGAAATGCTAAACTGATGCTACTATAATTTACACTGGCCAGTGGGGTGGCCAGTGGGTGGCCAGTGGGGTGACCAGTGAGGTGGCCAGTGGGGTGGCCGGTGAATTGGCCAGTGTGGTGACCAATGAGGTGGCCAGTGAGGTGGCTAGGGCATTGCACAGTTTGACCGTGGCCACACCCTGGTGGCGACAGGTCTTCATACTCTCTAAACATTTTGTTATGATGTCATGCCATTGTCCGAGACTCTTGATGCACTTCTACCAAACCATTAGGAAGCTAATAGACAATATGGATGAATTCTCAATAACAAACCTCTGTATTAATATGCTGACGTTCAGCAGATGTGTTTTCTGTCACTGGTTCTGTAGGTAGAACCGCTCCTTCCACTGCCGGACTCTAACTATGTCTTTTTCCTGCAGGGTTTAACCTGGAAGATGCTCTGTTCGATGGTGAGAGATTCACTCCAGCTGATCACAGCATTTGTCTAAATTAAATCTCAAGCACAGAGTCCTCTCACTCCTTCTCTTTGGTTTAGATCCCACCCCGGCACCCCCCAAAAAGCAGCCGGTAACACCGAAGAGGCCTGGAAGTGATGGTTTGTATCAAAACACACACCTTCATCTGGTTTTCCTGATCATGGCCCATTTTGGGGAAGTTCCTTTTTTCCTGGAGGAACTATGAGGTGCTGCCAATTATGCAGCTTGGTCACAGGAACCAGTAACTCAGCAGTTCTGCCTGGGATCTGCACTGGGAGGACAGGGTTTGCTTAGAGGCTTTCCTTTAGAGTCCAAATCAGAGAGGTTTAAGCCCTCCTTGATGGTGTCAGCCGCTGGTATAGATGATGCTGGGTATGAACCTGAAGTCTTCTGAGGGTAGATCTCCTCCGGCTGCAGGAGCTACAGAGTAGAAACAACTGAGAAGCACTGGGGGGAAGTGAGACATCTAGAAACCACAAAACAAACCAGCCTCACTCCTCTGCACAGCGTGGCACAGATGTTGTCACGCAATGGTTTCCATGCCTCCCTTTTCATAAATAAAACAGTTTCCTGTAGCTGCAGAGCGTGGAGAGCTTGCTGTCTGATGATCTCTGATAGAAAGCAAAACCACAGGGGAAACGCTGAAATGCTCTCACCACTGGTTAGCGAATATTCTCCCTTAAGACATGAATATCAAGAATCAAGAATAATCTCCTCACTGGAAACGGGGACCTTGGAAATAACTAACAAAGCCGACAGACAGGACTCTAACAGAAGGCAAGCAATCAATGATCTGGCCCAGATAGCTGGAACTGAGCCCAATATAAAGGAGAACGAGCAGGTGGATGAGATGAGTGACAATTAGGAGGTGGACAGAGTTAAGCAGGTGAAAGGTATGAATAATTACGGTGAGCTATCAGGGCAGATCATGACAGGCAGAGCTGAGACACAAACAGCTATGTTGGCAGGTATCAAATAATCAACTACGCCCCTATCTCCAAAACAAACGTCCACCACTAGAGCTTGGTTCTCCAACTTTATCCCTATTTAAGCCTCTTAATAACAAGCGCTGGTGAAGATTCTCAGTCATCCAGGTCATAGTCATTCCAAAAAAACAAAAAACAACTGGACTTTGTTTCCAAGCTTAAAAACTTTTTTGGACAAAGAAGACAGGTGGTTTGAGAGGGGTATGAAGGAAGCCATTTTTGTTAAGAAAGAAAAAACAACATTAAATAGAGGGGGTGGACTCAGACTTCAGGTTTCTGGTATTACAGGCTAACAAAGAAACCAAACAACCCATATTGCAAAGGGGTGGACCCTTTCGTCAGGTTCGATTTGCCTGTTTCTAAACCAAAACCAGGCTTCGTTTGGTCCACTCTTTAAAGCCCCAAACTCAACGCCACTTCTGATATTTTGATTTGAAAAAGCATCCTGGATGGGAAGCAAAACGTCTTCAAACTTAATAACCAGCATTATAATAACTCAAGCAGCAGCCATCAGGATGAACATGTATGCAGCACGGGGTCCCTTAGCCACTGCCTGTCCCGTTTCCAGGACAGGCAGTCGGGTGATGCTAAGGTCCATGGTCCCCCTCACCCTCCTGCAGTTTTTATTTCTAAAATCCCTGGCGGCTCCATGTCTCCACCCAGGGGCCGTTCTGGTTTCGTACCTTATCCTTACAGCTGATTATCACCTTTGAACCAATCTGAATGACCTGGTCGAATGTTGTGGAGTTACGAAGCCGAGACAGAGGCATTTCTTGCAAGAAAAAAGCTTCAAATTTATTTAAAGTCCTCAGATGGAGAGATAGGGCTCTGACTGAGGCAACCCACCCCCTGCATAAAGAACTTTCTCACACTTGAACATTTGTAGGAAAAACAACTCGAGTTCATCAAGGCCGTTCACTGTTCGGTTAATATATATCTTCAACAAGTTCTGGCGACACTGGTAGGATGGAGTCATATTTCTCTGCTCCAAACTGGGAGCTATAGTTGACCTGTGGGTAGCTAGCTGATCAGGTGTTTTCTGCTGCAGGTGGCTTTGGACTAGATTTGGAGAACGCTTTGGGACCAGGTAGGACGGAAACCACCCAGAAGATAAAAGTATTCATTCCTGCATGTCATCCTGGTTGAAGGTGTTGAGAGTAACCATGTTGGTGGTTCTGTTTGAAACATAGCTTTGGTTGAAGGAGAGCCATTTTTGTCAAACAGATTAGGTCCAGGATTGGTTCCCTTCAGGTTTTCCTTTGGATGCGGAGTAGACATCATTGTTTGTCTTGGAGATTACAAGTCTGAATAAAAGTTGCACTTTTGCTAAAAGTGCTAAACTAACGTGTATGAATCTAGCACCTCTGATGAAGCTGTTACACTCCTTACCAGTTGGTGGCAGTAATGCAGCCGAATGTTGTTCACCAACTACCATTGAAACGAGGGGAACTGGAGAACTCTATTCAGGGTAGGAAAGGACGTCCGAACTGCGGGGCCAAGTCCACTGACCCTTTACCGTACAGTTCTCATTAGAGGGCGGGCACATGTGTTAATGGCCCGTGGTCAAATTGAGACTACAGCCTTTGAGAAAAGAACTACAAAAATTCCCCAATATAGAGAACTCCAAAATCCAAAGATATGAAGTTATGAGCAACAAATGATGGATTGTTGTTGACCTCCTGTCAAGCAAAGCATTGCAGGTGACCCTGTAGCTCTGGACATGAGTGGTCCCTATCCTAACCATAGTGGGGTCTGCTTACTACCTATCAGCACTCATCACGGCATTGACCTGTTGATGCTTCTACCGCCGTCAGTCAGGTGTCTTTGCTGAGGGATTTGTAGCCTTTTCCATCCTCTTCTTGCCCTTTAATGGCGGTTGGCGAACAGCGTTCAGGTGCACTACCGCCATTAAGATATGTTAGCACTCTATCAGTCGTGTACGGTCTTAATTTGTATTTGTACTTCTGGAAAGTTGCATCTCTTGTGTTTATAATTTCAAAACTCACCAATGAAAACCTGATGTCATGTGTTTTAATGACATAACTTATTAACTTACGGTTACGATTTCACAAACCTATACAAACATTGCTACTGTCAGTCATCTTGGGCTGTACACAGAGACACCAGTGAGTTAGCGATCTAGATACTGGCCCAGTTCTGTCTACTGTTTGGGCTTGTGAAGATGTCTGACCATGGCAGAGAACCGGTATGGGCTCATCTTTTTGATGACCTGGTTTTGGTGTGCAGAAGTTCTGGTCCAAACAAAGCTCTACATAGAAACAGGTCATCCACTTTCTCTACTTTCTACCACATCCCAAACATCTAAAGATTCCTCTGTTTGTAAACTGCATTAAACCTGTCTCCCAGTCTCACTGGTTCTGTTGGTCTGTCTTAAACTGGATCAGACTCAGTTAGGTTCTAGTTCTATTAAGGTTGGTCAAACTGTTTTAAAACTCTCTAGGCTGATTTAATTAGCTTTTATTCAGTAGGAGGGCATATATCTCCTCGCCAGAGTCTTGAGTAGTCCAGAAATAGTTGCGGACAATACCGTATTTTCACGACCATAAGGCGCACCGTACTAAAAGGCGCAGTCTCAGTTGTGTGTCCCATTTCTGTATTTAACACACACATAAGGCGCACCGGACTATAGGGCGCGTTTTTTATACACAAGGTACATGTCCTCTACTACCTTTAAATACCTCTACTGCGTATTTAAAAATACAGCGGGGGCAAAACTGAGTATGACTGTGCTTTATTCATGTATTTATTACAAAGCATTAATCAAACCTGGGAGCTGGCCGTGAGACAGACACATCGCAGATGACACAGCGCTGTGATCGCTCCTAAATTAACTTAAAATCCTGAAACCTGCCGACGGAATTTGTTCGCTTTTATTACCGGTATCCTGGTGCCTGCAGTTTAAATTATTTAGATGAAAAACACCTGCCAGCAGCCGGTGAACCCGGAGGCTGCCCGGCCTAGAGGCTGCTGATGAAGGGATTTCTGCTGTCGGTGCACCGCTGGTATGTCGGGGTCTGAGTGCCTCCGACAGAAATAGATAATCTGGATGAACTGACTGCAATTATTAAGTTTTCAGGTGGCCTTTCTCACTTAAAAACATATTAAAACTACTTTATTCCCACTGATCACAGCAAATATAGCTGCAAGATTTAGATTATTTAGATGAAAAAACACCTGCCAGCCGCCGCGGTGAAGAGGAGGAGACCCGCCCAGAGGCTGCTGTTGAATTAAGTTTTCAGGTAGAAAAATAGAGCGGGAGCAAAACTGAGTATGATTGTGTTTTATTCATGTATTTATTAAAAAGTATTAATCAAACCCATCAAAGTCATCATCCTCTGTTTCTGAATTAAACAGCTGCGCTAAATCAGACATGCCAGTTTCCCCTTCTTCGCTGTCAGAGTCACTTTCCGTGCAGCGCGGCTCCTCAGAAATAATGCCGGCTTTTGCAAAAGCTTGAACAACAGAGCCAGCAGACACGTTAGTCCAAGCATCCACAATCCATCCGCTAAAGGTGGCGTAACTTGCCCGGCGCTGCCTTCCACTTATCCTGAAACTGTGGTCTCCGTCTGTCATCCATCGCTCCCACGCCGCTCGCAGCCTTACTTTGAACGGCCGCTTCACACCGATGTCCGGCGGTTGAAGTTCCTTTGTCAGACCCCCCGGGATAACGGCGAGCACAGCGTTCATTTGATTCACCTTTTTTTTCACATCGGCTGTGAGATGGGCACGTAGCGATGGTGATGCGTGGAAAAAAACACCTAGTCTTCTCACATACACCTGCCTCAGCCACGCTTTCATCATCTCCTCATCTATCCAGCCTTTTTCATTTAATATCATATGTCATCAGAGCGCTGTGTCTGTCTCGCTGTCAGCTCCCAGATCAGCTTCTCTGATTGGTTGATGCGGCGCGTCCAGCAGCAAAACTTCAATTTTTCCATGTCGAGCAGCAGCAGCGCGTTGGCAGATGCTTAAACGCTCCCGACGTGCTGCACCAAAACGCGCTGCGGGACCTTTTGCTGCGCCTATACGCGCGTCAACCATTGACTTTGCATGTAAACTCGCTGCTTCTGCTGCACCTGCTGGGTCCGGTTCACACCGATGTCGAGCGGTTGAACAGCGAGCACAGGGTTAATTTGTTTCCCCATGTTTTTCACATCAGCTGAGAGATGGGCACGCATGGAGTTACATATTAACAGCGATGGTGATGAGTGGAAAAAAAACACCTGGTCTCCTTACATTCAGCCACTCTTTCATCATCTCCTCAATGAGGTGGTCTCAAAAGTCGCAGTTACAACACACATAAGGCGCACCGCACCATAGGGCGCACCGCACATTTTGAGGAAAAAAAAAGACGTTTAAGTGCGCCTTATAGTCGTGAAAATACGGTAGTTGTCCCAATGTAGTCCAATAAAAGACGTTGAAACGTTTTCAACGTCTTTCCAACAATCTGAAAATTACAGCTTTTTACCTTTCACTTTCCAAGCAAATGTAGACGTTTCTTGGACGTAAATCATTTTGAATCAATTCTTGCTCAGTGGGATTCATGAATGGATAAAAAGCTTTCTCTGATACTGATGAAGGGTCTGGTCCTGTGTTTGCAGATCCCGCTCCAGAACCGAAGAAACCTGCAGATAAACCTAGGAGCGGAGGTGAGTGAGCAGATGGTCTGGCTGTCGACCTTCTAGCAGACATTTTTGCTCAAATCCAACAAAGCAAAGACCAAAGCACCACTCAGGAAGAAGCATGCTGATGTGGGAGGCCCAACCAGAGGCTGTGATGGACACTGAAGTTCTCTGTGTCACTGATGTCTTCCAGGAGGAGGAACCTTCGGTGACAACGACCTGTTTGATGTCAGCAATGGAGACTACAAGCCCGACGAAGGACGCTCTGGAGGTGAGACCCCTTTCTGACTCAGATCTGAGTGTTGCTGCACAGTGGTTTGAGCATATCTCCAGTCGAAGGACCAGTAGCTGCTGGTTCTGGTCATCAGTAGCTAGTCCTGTGGCCCTCCTGGTGGTTCCCTGTTAAGTGCTTGTTATCCTTTAGCAGCCATGTGTGGTTTGTCGCAGGTATAACGCAGATATGTTTGATCTATGCCCAATATTGAAGTGTGGTCTGCGCTATGTTAATCCACGCCACAACTCAAGAGGGACTAGCCCACCCACAATCCTGGAACAAGCCAGGTGCCCTGTTGTGTTGGTTTGACGAGCTTGTTCGCCATCTACAACCCCTCATGCAACTCCGGACAACACGCAGTTCACCCGTGAGTGTTCCCCAAAGACTGCGTGGTGCTGTGTGTTGCACACCAACAGACTAAAAACTAGCATCCTGCACAATGTCTGGGATAGTGTCCGCTGTGTGGCAGGCATTGTGGACGACTCTACGGCCAGAGGTTCTGCCAGGTACCAAACAGGAAATACGCATAGTTAGAGCGGATGTAGAATTGACCAATCAGAGGCCTCCTGTCTGCAGCACTGTCTGCGGTCACATACAATTTTGGGGAGGTGAAACAGAGTGTCTGCTGAAGGGGGGGGGGGCATATCTGCGTTAAAAGCGACACACACACGTTTCTGAACTAAACCAGGCTTTACTGGGAACCACCTGGTCCAGTTCTGGCCTTTTTTCCATTCCTGTAGCTTGTTGTTAACATGGACTAAACTTCCCCTCCTCTGGTTTTCCCAACTTGGAGGACTTGGTTGTTTTTCCACCAAGGAAACAGCGGAGGGGGGGGGGGGGGGGGGACTACAGAACTTTTATGGAAATGAAAACCAGATGTCTGTTTGGCTTTTTATCCTGTGTTGGACATTTTTAAAGTAGTTCCATTCCTACTTGAACAGACCAACATGAGGTGGTGCCATAACCCTGAGGTAAATAAGAATCTCAAGTGACCCTAAATAAACATAGGGTCGGCTTATCGGACTGATGTGCCACAAATAATCATGCTGGGGGTCAGAGCTTGCTGTAAAGTAAACATCTACTCTCTTTACCGGCTCACCCAGGAGGAGAGAGTCCTGTAAAGTATTACCACACCCCACTGAGTCCATGTTAGGGGAGGATCCACAGTTTCTTTTTGATTTCATAGCTTCATTCATTGGAATAAGTTTGGGTCGGACGGAAGCAGGAGGAATTCCCCCTGAGGAAAACCCAGATTGGTAATTTGAGACTCCGGCAGCAGAGCTCAGCGTTTTCACCCTACATTCCAGTTCTCCCAGAGTCCCCTCCCCCGCCAGACTGCAGCACAGCCTCTGGGCTCCTTCTGTCCCAGACAAGCAGTGGGAGGGGCTTTTTTCCTTTCTCAGCAAACTTAGATTTCCTAAAAGAAGATGTGAAACAGCTCTGCTCACAGTTTATTTGTTGCTCCTCCAAGTCTGCATCATTTGGAAGCTAAAACTCTCTAACCTGACTTCTTCTTCTTCTGCATGCAGGCCGTGCAAAGGACACCAGCTATGATAATCAAGGTAAGTTCCCGTGCCTTTGATAAGTTGACCCTTGACCCTGTCTACATAAAGTTCCATTTCTACATATCAAATTGCTCTAAAGAAAGGCGTTTAATACAAGTTTCAGCCTTAGGACTACATGCTAGCTTTCAGCTAGAACTACAGGGATACAAAAGTGCTTGTAAATTGATGCCCTTCAAACGCTCAGCATTAGAAGTGAACCATGCTGTGCAGAAGTGCCTTTAAAAGCATGATCTTATTCTAATGCCTGGTCTCATTGTTTCCCAAAAGGTCTGGGCTAACAGGACTGCCACTTTCTTAGCTTCTATGTTGAACCAATCTCATTTAACATGAATCACTGAAGCAATTTCTGGGTTAAGCGAAGCTGACTGACCTCTTTTCTGCTGTTTTTACAGGTGGAAATGATCAAGCTCAAGGTAAATCATCTCTTCTATGATATGTTCCTTTAAACTACCCATTAGAGCAGGAAGCAGTGGCTGCAAAGAGAAAGTCATTGTTCAATGGTGATCCTCTTATATAGGATGTCTAATCCTGAGACAGCGACTTAAACTGGAGCTAAGACTGGCTTGACCAGCAGACTTAGAACAGGACAGAGAGCATCAAGGTCTGGGGACCTGCAGGTCTGCATGGAGCTGAGGGAGGGAATCTGGCAGTCCAAGACTCGTCCTCCTGCACAAACACCAGGAGCAGGCGACACAGAGTCAGTTCAAGTGACCCCAGCAACACAAGCGGGACCCTCCCAGACACTCTGTCCCTCAACCATTATGGCTGACCCACTACCTAGTGGGAGCCAACCTGCAGCACAGAGACACCAGAAAGGCTGCTGGTCCTGGATGGCCCCAGAGAAAGGATCCTCTGTAACCTCTAAACTCAGCTGACATTCCAGCCAACAGCCATCTTTCCTTTAATTTTTTACCTCGCCGTTGTTCCTCCATGCATAAAGACATCTTAAATAACTGTAGAGGAAGCAGTCGTACCCACTCTCCCTCCATCCCTGACAACCTGGAGAAGATCAACACCTACAGCAAGAGTCTTTCTTTGGACTTCAGCTCTACGTTTATCTTGTTATCTCCTATAATAGAGACCACCTGGATGGTCCAGTTAACATCATCCCCCATCCTGGACATGGGTGCACCTCAGGGATGTGTCCTCAGTACCTTTCATTTTTGAATACTTACTCAGAGCTAATACCCCTCTCAGACCTCCAACACCATGGTCAGGTTCGTTGATGACTCTATGGGTGTTCTGATCTCTGGTGGTGAACAGTTGGCCTGCAGACAGGAGATCCAGTACCTCACACTATGGAGTCAGAAACAAGAAACCTCAGTGAGAGAGGAGCTTATTCTGGACTTCAGGAAACCTAGGTGCATCCAGCCCTAGAAACCCAGAGAGGTTTAGAGCTAAACCAGAGGGTTCCTAGGTGTCTGCTTGTCGACTGACCTCCTCTGGAACACATCATCATCTCACACCAGGAGAACCGGAAGAACCTGCAGCAGAACCCTTTACTTGATCCAAGCCCTCCACTCTGTCAGCCTTTATACCTGCAGACGCCAACAGAAAGCCAGAACCATTTCTACAGACTCCACATTCTGTTCCCTCCACTTCTAGGTGGAAAAAAGTTTCCAGACATTAAAACACAACTCCAGCCTGCTAGCAAACAGAACAGTCCAGTCATTCACCTTCTGAACACCAGCTAGAAAAAGGCCTTATAGCTGCCAACCTTTGGCTGCTGTGGTAGAGACACAGCTACTAAACAATCAGTGACAGAATTTTTTTTATTCTCTTTTATTCTGTCTTATTAGAGACCAACACAAACTAGAACAGAAGTGGGACATAATGGTTTCAATCTATAAACGTCTGTCATGAAGATGTAATTAGTCCCCCTCATAGTGACACCCTTCTTAGAGAACTCAATACGGTTGGAGGACTGACAAGAACTCCTGTTTGTAGTTCCAAACTGGACTTCCATACCCCCTACTGAAGCACAGGGGTGGCAGCATCATTCAGGGGTTGACAGATACTTTCCCTTCAATCTTAAACACCCAACCATTCTCCCTGCTTGTAACCTTTAGGGGAGGCTGCTGCCTATCCTCAGCAGTTCAAGGGGGGTGAGAGGGTGTAGATCCTGGACAGGTGGGCTGCCCATCATAGGTCAACACGGGCATGACCGTACTCAGCTTCAGTCTGTGGGCAAAGCTGGAAACAAGTCTCTGGTTTAGGTCTAAATCTCTGTGGGCTTAAACTGTAACACTTCACAATGAGTTCTCTCAATTCCAATTCTAGTTAAGCCACTAAAGGTTGCTGCAGATTGTTTGGAGGGGTGTGAATACTTCCCGCTTGTGAGCAAACATCTCCCAGGGAGTCAGTCTGCTACCTGACCTGACAGGCCGCTGTTGCTAGGGGAGTCCTGTCTGTATGTGAGCCTAGATCAGCAAGCTGTTCCTCCTAAAATTATGGTGCCCCTCCCTCAATAGCTATGACTTGAGAAAGACAGTCAGTTGGAGAAGGAAGAGGTTTTAACTACAGAACTGAGGCCCAGTTGTGATCACGGGTTCCTTCCTCAGACTTCCTAAGGAATGTTGACTGAACAAATGAGACCCAGACTGTCCCAAATCTTGATCCTGTCCACGTACCCACTGTAGAAGCTGGTTCTGGGGATGCGTCCGATCCGTGCGTCGTCATGGTGATCAGAGCGTGCAGGGGTGCTCCTCCTTCCTGCCTTTGTGTGTTTGAATTCTATGTGTGCTCAGTGAAGGGTCCCCTCTGGACCTAGAGCCATTTTCTGTTTCCTGTTCAGAGGAGGCTTCTGTTTCCCTCCTTGGCCCAACTTCATCATACCTCCACTCTAAGCACTGCCGTCGGTCATTGTCTGACTAAAACACAGGGACTGTGAGCGGGAGCTGTGCTGACTCATAGCATTCCCCGGGGATGGCGTTGCGTGAGGGCCATTCTGATGCAAGCCGTCCTGTGGATCATGCTGTCAGCTCTGGTTTGGTTTCTCTGGCTAAAACCCTGCTTCGATGTGTGTCGTTGCAGATCCAGACCTTCTGTGGGGCCAAATCCTGAAGATGCTAAATTCTAACATGCCAGAGGAGTTCTTTATGTGGATGTCGAACTTAAAGCAAGTTCTAGGCCCTCTGCTAGAGAAGGCCAAGGAGCTGTTGCAGGCTCTGCCATGAGCTCTTAGTTGGACCCGTGTTGTAGGCCAACAGAACCATCCCTTCTCTTTGGCTTTTTGATGCCCCTGCAGGGTTAAAAAGTGCTGACCTATCTCCAATGGGCAATGCTTTACTGAAACCAGGAGGTGGCTGCTTGGTGTAAAATATTTTCCTTTGGTTGGAACTCTGTTGTATTGCTCAGACTTACTGGAGTTTTAGGGTCTAAATGGGACTAACTTGGTCTTTTTGGGACTTGCTAAGCCTTACTGAGACACTGTAGGGCTAACTGGGATTATCTTAGCTAGGGTTTTTTTGGGACTTGCTAAGCCTTACTGAGATTTTCTGGGTCTTACTGGGACCAATTTAGATGGGTTTTTTTTTGACTCGATCAGACTTACAAGAACTTTGTGGGGGTTACTAGGACTAAGACCTTTGTTGGGACTTGCTCAGACTTACTGGGATTTTCTGGGTCTTACTGGGACCAATTTAGATGTTTGTTTGTTTTTTTGGGGACTTGATTAGACTTACTGGAACATTTGGGGTCGTAGTGGGACTAAGTTGGTCTTTTTGGGACTTGCTGAAATTTACTGGGACTTTCTGGGACTTATTGGGATTCATTAGGACTTACTGATACTCATGGTCCTTTTCCACTGGCTCTACAGCACCATACCATTTTTTTCTCTTTTTTAGCATGCACTGTTGGATTTTTGGCCCTACTCTAATCCTGACCCTACCTATTGCTGAGGACAGCTGAGAAAACTTGCTGCTGGTGCGGAATAATGTAAACGTATGAAGCTTGGAGGGGTGGATTAGAGTCACACCAACTTTAGTCGCTGTAAAAGCAGCAATACTGGGACTTACTGGGACGGGTCTGCTTTATTGACTCCATCACATTTTTCTATCTCTACTTTCAGGATATAAATCTTATAAACTTGTTTGAAGTCAGACTTTTTAATGGTTTTATTGTTGCCATGTTTTAACCTGTAAATAAAAAAAATAAAATAAAAATCTTTTTTGTCATATGTAGCTATGGACCTATCAGGTTCCAGTTCTAAATCTCAACTTCCTGATAAGTTGATTTAAGCCAATCCAGATGTTTTTAGGAACCAGACGATGGGTTACAGGATGTTATAGGCTGGGGGGGCTCCACCGGCCTCCCCGGGGTTGGTGTGTTGTGCAGCTAGTTGCATCGGGAACCTTTAGCTGGTTCCAGGTGATCCTACTGCTGATCAATCCGAACGTAGGCACCTGATGATGCTAACGCCGTCGCCTCTGCCTGCGCCGGGACTGTAACCCAACCATGCTGGGTAATTTAATGGATTCAGTTTGCTGATGATATATTTTATTCCTGAACTTCTTTGCTCCGCGATCCTCCGCTCACCTGGATTTCACACATATTCCGGTTGGATCACATTCCAAAGGCTAACGCTTGAGGGTTTAGAGTGACAGATCGACACGGTGAAGCAGAAGGAAGGTTCGGATACGCCTTCATTTAGCCTTCCGGGCTAAACATTCTGAGGGACCTCTGTCATCGCTTCTCCTGCTAGAAGGTGGACCTCCCCCAAAGGTTTCCCTCCAGGATTCCCCCCTTCAGCTCAATCCTGTCCGATCTGCTTTGTATCCCTCCTCATGCTGCTGCCACCACCATGCTCAACCCTTAACCTACACCAGAGCCTCCTCCCTGAGCCATCTGAGGGGTTCTCGGTCTCCACGATGAGGGTTTTCTTTGATGTTCTGGACTCTGGTGACTGAATAGGGGACAGCAGGTTATCGGGGGAGGATCTCACCGCCGACTGCTGCGGCTGGAATGGGTAGAGCCGGGAAAGACCCTTCAGCAAATCTCTGGACAGAGCAGAGGAGAGGAGTTTCTGTTCTGGCTAGGTTGCCATGGTAGCAGAGACAGACTTCCTATTTGCTGTGAGGAGGTACGCCCAGGGTTTTCACCTGGTTCTGCAGGATTCAGAACCTGAGCGGGTTTCTTTTTTTTACAGTGTCCTGTCTGGCGATGTGGCAATAAGAATAATTGTCTTGATGCCAAAAAGAGCCCAACAGATTTTAGTTTCACAAGTGGAGCAGTATGGCTATTGCCATATTGCTCCACTTGTTTCATGCATAGAATTTGCTTTATTATTATTATGCAGGGAGTTTTACAGTTTATATGGACACTGCAATGGAAGTAGAACAGAAGAGGAAAAACAGAAGAAAAAAGGAAAAAAAAGAGAAAAGATGAAAGAAAGAGATGATAGAAAGGAGACAATGACAAAACATTTTCAGTCTGCTTCATCACCTGCAACGAGATGTAAAAAGAACAGCAAAACCGAAAGACACGGTACGAGATATACAACAAAGCAACACCCTGAAACTATCGCTGAAGTAGTACCACCCAGTCTGACATGCACTCTATGTTACCTACGTCTATCAGAACCTGAGCGGGTTTCTGTGTGAGTGTGGGAAATCTGTAGAGCACATGCTTTGAGTTCCTCGGCAGTAAGTCATGCTGTAGGCAGGCATCCAGCTCATCTCTCTTGTGGAGGCAACTCCCTTTTTAGCACAGAGCCTCGTCACAAGACCCGCGGGGCCTCAGGGCGGGTCGGCACACCAGCCAGGGCCCATCCTCGCCCAGCTTTAATGTCTGTGCAGCCCGCCCTGCCAGCTTTTAGATCCAATGCCTTTAGAAAGGCCCCCTGGTGGATAACAGCAGTCCCTGCACCATTAAACCGGTCCACAGGTGGTCGGCTCTCAAACCAAACATTATTCTATCAATTCAGTTCCTCGATGAAACCGAAACAGGTGAACAAAGAAGGTTTCATCTTAATCCAAAATGCATAAATCTAACTTCCATGTGATCATAACTGAACGTCTCTGTTGTTTTTGTCCATTTTTGCAGCAGGTTCTGGTCAAATAGCCGGAATCATCAGCGCCGTAGGAGTTGCTTTGGTGGGAGCGGCGTCCAGCTACTTCGCCTACCAGAAGAAGAAGCTGTGCTTCAAGCTGCAGGGAGGCGCTGATCCAGAGAGCGGGAAGGGTCCCCAGGGCGGGCGCTCCGACAACCAGGGTGAGTGGCCTTGAATTCCCACACCCTGGGAGGCTGTGAACGCATCGTTAGACCGACCCATTGATCATTGGATTCATTTACAGCATCAGCCTCTGATTCTATGGGCATTAGATGATAAATTAAACATTTCTATTCCTGATAATCCAGGATTATGTCCAAACCTACTTTGATAATGATGTTTTAAGGAAACAAATCTACTCCAGGAAGACTGACGGTTCTGGTTTGGACTATTGGGCGGTCCGGATGTCGGTTACAGTGAAGGGAGCCAGCATCTGGCTAATCGGACCCAGGATGCTGGATCAGAACCAGATCCTCAGAGCGTCGGATTATGACGCCCGGTAGAACAAGTCCATGGATTATTTTCATGTCTCCTCCTGCCTGTCTGAGTCATCGTTCCCTTTATCCTCGTCCCGCCCTGAAACTTCCCAGGAAGAACGTCATCCGACCTGCTCAGCCAATCAGAACTAACCTTTGGGAACATGTGACCCCATTGTGGTTCAGAGCTCGTTAACCAGATTTTTAACGAGTTTCGCCTCCGTCCATACAGAAGGGAGCCAGTCAGAGATTGTTTTCAAAGGTCCCTCTGAGCGGGACGTCCTGATGGAAGACATTAAATAATCCTGACCTTTGTTGGACCAAAGTCCTGCTGCAGACGGGTCGGTCCTGTATGCCGGGCAGTTTTTGGACCTCCTGGTTCTGGGTGAATGTCTGTCACAGCGCTTAATAGTTCCAGGGAAACAGAAACCCGTCCAAACCAAATGCTTTGAAAGCCTGACACCTGCTGGTGAAGCAATGGTACTGCCATGGATCTTCACATCAAGAGTTTTTATTTGTTTGTTTTCTTCTTTTTCCAGTTTTCAGCAACCTGCTCCAGAACAACTAGCAGAACCTGATTGGACTTCTCAGCCGAAAGCCTGAAGACGTCTTTCCTACGGAAAAGGACCACCAGGTCGTGGACCGCCTGCAGACCCGACCGTCTGCCTGCTAATCTTTCTCTCAGCTTCAAGATCCCAACTGAACTGTCTGCAATGATTTCAGGGTTTTTATTTTCATCTCTTCCAGTTTCTGTTTCTCTGTTTTATCCTTTCCATGCCTGTTAAGATGCCGCTTTCCTGTTCCGAAATAATCCAAAGACGAGGGCAGCAGAGGGGCCCTCCTGCCCGTTACCCTCGGGGGCCTTTCAGAGGAAAGGAGCTTCTCTGACAGAGCAGCATGTGAACTAAAGGAGACGTTTGTAAAAAATATTCTTTTGTCGTCGTTAAAAGCTCGAAGCACTATTGAATGATGGGGGTTTTATAAGGCGGATGTAATTCGCTGGGTGAGGATCCAGCCGAAGGAGATTTCATGTAAACTGCTGATTGCCATGGAAACAAGGGCTAAATGAAAATGTGCACAATCTATGTACAGATTTTGTATCTATGAGAGAGTTTAAGATGTTCTATACCTGCAAAGAGAACACCTAGAGGCGGCCTTGTTTCACTGGCTAGTGTGTTAGCACCACTTAACTAGCTGCTAGCATTTTAACTCCAAGTTAACTGACTTCTAACATGTTAGCTCCCAGCCAGGTGCTAGCATGATAGCTCCCAGTTATCTAGGAGCTAACATGTTAGCTCCTTTTAAAGGTAGCTGCTAACATGTTAGTTCTAAGCTAGCAAGGTGCTTACATTGTTGCTACCTATTAGATAGCTCAAAACATTGTAGCTGCAATGTTAGCTCCCAGCTACCTAACTGCTAACATGTCAGCTCGCACATAGGCACTAACATGCTAGCTCCCAGTTATCTAGGGGCTAACATGTTAGCTCCTTTTTTGAGCTAGCTGCTAACATGATAGTTCCCAGCTAACTAGGTGCCAACATTCTAGCTGCCTATTAAATAGCTAAAAACATTGTAGCTGCCATGTTAGCTCCCACTTAGCTAGCTGCTGATATGTTAGCTCCCAACTAGGTGGTAGCATGCTAGTTCCCAGTTATTTAGGGGCTAAGGTGTTTGGTCCCACCTAGCTAGGTGCTAACATTCTAGCTGCCTATTGGATATAGCTAAAAACATTTTAGCTGCTAACATGTTAGCTCGCAGCTATGTAACACTTTATCTGTAATAAACAGATAAGCCTAAAATCATTGATTTTTTTGCTTTTTTAGCTAAATATTTGAATCACATCTAACGACATAAAACAAGCAGATTGTTCTTTAAAAGCATACCTTTGTTGTTTTTTTCACGGCTACATGTCTGTTCGCATGGCGCCGTCAGTGCCTTCAATATAAGTGCTTCAGCCGGTTGGTTTACAGTGGAACCCTCTGAGGTTCTGCTCCCCAGATGAATGTTTCCTGTTTCACTCGGTCGTCTCTGCTGTAAATAATCCACTCTGTTAGATCTATGTCTACGCTTTGTTTCTTTTCCAGCTCCAATGATCATTCGAAGTGTATGTTTTGAAGTTATTGTGTATTACATGAGTTTTGTCTGTCAGTTGATTTCTGGTGTTTACGTGTTTTTAGTAAAGTGTCGTTGTACACCTCGTGGCTGTTGTGTAACTCTGTCTCTATAAAAAAACAAACCCCAGCTCTGCTGGATCGGCTCTAAATCAGACGACCCCCCCGGGAAGGTGTGAATTTCAGCCACTCTTGCTCAGCTGGGTCAAACTATAGACCTAAATTCAACAGATTTATACGACATTTGAAATGTAAACATCCATCTCCGCAGCTCTTCTGGACATTTATCCTTCAAAATAATGGAAACTTATGGTCTGAGCTAAATTTAATTTCTCTGGCTTCACACCAACAGCTGTCATCAAGCAGAAAACATGTGGCCCAGTTTGTTGAAGGTCTGTAGAGTAAGCTCTATTTATAATCGTGCCATTCAGTCAAAGACTGATCTTCAGAGAAAGGTCAGAGCAACAAAACTAGCTTTCAGATCAGAGGGATGCTAAGACGTTAGAGCTAGCAAAGCTTCCCCAGCAGACATGGAGGGACCCTCTACTTCCCTATTCAAACTCTACAGGAAGCTCAACATGGAAAGCATGTAACCACCTCGAATCAAGAGTTACACAAGTTAGCTTCTGAAGCTCTTAGTTATTAAACCCAAACACATAGGTGTGGAGATTTGCACGACTAACAAACAGAACAGCGAAGAAACATGGATTGTTGTTTAACTCAGTGAGGGAGGTGGGCCGATACGTCCTGTTGGGACATTCCTTCCTGTTAAATCCAGAATAGAATTTAAAATCCTCCTTCTCACATATAAAGCCTTAAATGGCCAAGCTCCATCTGATATCAGAGATCTGATTGTTCCTCATGTTCCTAACAGAGCATGTTCTGAGCATCCTGACTGCTTCATTCTATTTCTATTGTTAAGCTGCTATAGGCTTAAAATGCTGGGGGACATAGGGACCCCTTTTCCTCATTCTACTTCACTCTATCTCTATAGTTCTGCTGCTTTAGGCTTAGACTGCTGGAGGACATAGGGACTCCTTTTCCTCATTCTCCTTCATTCAATCTCTATAGTTTTGCTGCTATAGGCTTAGATCTCTTGAGTTTTTCCTCTCCACTGTCGCTACAAGCATGCTTAGTGTGAGGGATTGCTGAAGAGTCAATGAGTCGATGCAATCAGCTGGTTTTCCTTAGATAGAAAACTTTGAACCAATCTGACTGGATGATCTGGTTGAACTGGAAAGTGACCTGAGATGACATGATGGGAATTGGAGCTATAGAAATAAGCTGAACAGAATTGAATTCAAAGGATTTTAGGAAATCGAACAGCTCCTATAAGCCAGGTGGGCTCCTATGCTAAAGGAGCATCCTGCTTCCTTCCTCACTGCAGCTCTATTCAGACAGCTCTGTCCATGGAGACCACTGATGGTCTTCAGGTCTGGCTAAATCAGGTCTTTACTGACCGATGCTGTCAGTCTGATCAATCTGTTTTTTTTTAAAGAATGATCAGCAGAACGTTTTGCTCTCTGTCACAAATCAAAAAGTTTCAGCGGAGTATGGCAACAGGAAATGGAAAGGTTACAGAGGTGCAAATACTTTTTGGCGAAGCAGCTTTAGACTGAGGCTGGTGCCTGGCCATGGCTACAGGTTATTTGCTGCTGACTGATGTGGAAAGTGAAAATCAACACTCCTGTGGGGTTATCAGCCGAGCAGAAGATTGCTCTGTTGCACAACCCTTCGTTGCTTAGCCCCTTTCCTGCTGGTTGAATGACCAGTTGGACAAAAACATCAGAGGGTAGAAGCTGCAGGCCCCCAGCCTCATGCTTTACTCCACACCTCCACGCGCGCCGAGCTGCCACTCTACTCAAGGCTTCCACATCTACGCTGGTGCTCCTTTCTGCTACACGAGTCCGAGTCTGCCGCTCCGGAGCCGTGCTATGCCCCCCGCCTCCGCTCTGGACTAGTAAACCTGTAGGACTTGGTGCTGCCTGAAGAGAGAAAATGTCAGGTAGGATCCTCAGTTTCTTTAAAAGTTTCACACCTTTTTTTGATTCAACGTGTTTGAGAAGAACACATTAGAGATAAAATGAGTAACAGCATGCCGTAGTGAGTGCTTTGAAATGAGAGCAGACTCTGAGCTATTTCAGCTTCTATTCAGAAAAGGGGAGCCAGTGAAATCTAACACTGTCCTCACACGGAGGTTACGTGCCTCGCTGTCATGCTGCGGGCCGGGATTATGGAGCCAGCTGTTAGGATTTGAGGATAAGAAGCGTTCCGTAGGTGAACCCGATGGGAGCTTTAAGGCCTGGTCTGTCCTCTCTGCCTGCAGCTGGCGAGGCCTTCGTCACGCTGGCCGCCTCAGACTCCTACTGCCAGGGAGCCACGGTGGTGGCCACCAGCCTGCGGCGGCACGCAACCACTCGCCGCATCGTCGCCATGGTCACGCCAAACATCTCTGAGCAGTCCAGGTGAGACCCGTTTCTGCGTCACCAGGAGCTGCGATCAACATTTAGCTCCAGTTTTACTGGCTTTCTGCTGAATACGAAGAATAAGAAGAAAAAACGACGGTTTGCCAAAAATAAGGAGCAATATTTATGGATATTTAGCGCGTTTTAAGAGAACATAAAGGAGTTATTTTATTCCAAGTCATTTTTCAACTATGACTTTCATTCATTTGTAAAAATCTTACTTGGTTAAATAAATATTTAGCTCCAAACTAAATATTTAGTTTCAAATGAAATATTTAATTTGTTAAATAAATATTTAGCTCCAAACTAAATATTCAGCTAGCTTGGCGCTAGCTGAATATTTAGCGAATATGCAAATTCCCTTGCCGACAGCAGAAGTGGACTATCAAAGTAAAAGCCTGGGAATTTTTATATTTAAGTGAATTTCCATATTCGCTAAATATTTAGCTAGCTTGGTGCTAGCTTAATATTTAGTTTGGAGCTAAATATTTATTCAACAAACTAAATATTTATTGAAGTAATTTATTTGAAGTAAGACTTTTATAAATGAATGAATCACAGTGAAAAAATTACTGGTAAAAAAATAAATCAAACAAAAACACGCTAAATAATCATAAATATTGCTCCTAATTTTTGACCAATAAAAAAATAACCTGACTTTAACCGGAGAAAAAAAAAAAATATTCAATGCAGCTTTTTGTTGATTTGGTCCTTGGCTCCGATTGGTCGATTCTCCAGTCTCAGCTTTAATTAGGAGCTTCCCTTCATCTTAAACAGATGTGATCATTGCTGCAGCCTTAGAAAGTCGTCTAACCGACTCGGTGACCTCCTTCTGACCAGGAAAGGCCTGGAGGACGTCTTTGATGAGGTCATCACGGTGGAGGCGATGAACAGCGAGGATCCGCTCCATCTGGCCATGCTGGGACGTCCTGAGCTCGGCGTCACCTTCACCAAGATCCACTGCTGGAATCTGACTCAGTTCAGCAAATGTGTCTTCCTGGATGCCGACACGCTGGTTAGTTCACTACCAACTCAGTCCCACTGGTGGGAAACTGGTTTTTAGACAACCAGGGATCTGTTTCACAAAGCGAGTTTCATCAACCTGTATCTGTTGCCTTGGTTAGGCAACATCCTCCGCCACTAATAACGACCATTTATTGAGATGATACCAGCCGAGGTGCGGCTGCAAACAGACAGTATTTACTGTGCAAGAGAAACTGAATCAATATGAGGAGGAACCCATGAGATGATGAACAGGTTCCAGTTATTAGAACTACGTTTTTATTCTTCGTCTTCACCTGCTGCCAGAAGATTTTATCTAAATAAATACATTTATCTTCTACATTTCAAGAAATAAACCCGTAATGTTTTTGTGATCACTACAGGATATGGCAAGCCGCTTTAATATGTGTTAATATCTATTAGTTTGACTGAATATGTATTCCTGAAAAAACATTTTCTTTGCCTAAATGACCATTAAAACAAAATGTCACTCAACATCTAGAATAAACATTCTGGATGTCTAGAAATTTATTTCAGATCTCCATATTCCTAATATCACTGGTCAGCATTTGCATTATTTTGACACTGAAGAATCATGAATACATTTCCAGTCAAGCTGATAAATGTGTAAACATTTCTAGATTTATAAAACTTAATTCCTACTAGCATAATTTAGTTTTTTATTTTTTGAAATTCAGTTTCTCCTGCAAAATGTATTTTAGAAAATCTATTATTACAGTCCAGTCCAGGAGTGTGATTTTGATGAGGAAGAATATTATTTTAGTGATCTACAAATAGAATAATAAAGAGGAGAGTGCTTTAAATAAATGTAGAAACAGCCTGCCATAGGCGACTTACGCGTTAACTCGAGCAGCAATCTTCTCCTTCTTCCTCTCCTTTGCAGCTGTTTCTCTGTTTCTCTGCTTTTTAAACACATTCTCCGTTTTATTTTTTATTTCTTCATTAAAATCTCCAGTTCCAGTGGGGTGAAATAGTCACTTCCTGTTGCCTGTTGTCATGGTGACTCGTCCATTCAGGGCTCCACTGATAATGGCTTTTCATACTTGTTACGCACGTTCTTAACTCTGAGGGGACCTAGTTAAAATGGATTGAACTAATTGATAGCAGCCGAAGTTTAACAGGAGTTCCCGGCTTTAGGCTAGATCAATTTAGAGTTGAGGATTAGAGTCTGAGTTTGTTAAACCTGCTTCTAGAAACGGACCACAGATCAGACACAGAGTGTAAGTGTTGGTTAAATGAAAGTGGTTTTTGTCCCATGTCTGCAGGAGAACCAGACGTAGTGGTGAAGACCCCATGAGTCTCTGACAGCCCCTTAGATTGAGGAGGTGCTCCGAGAAAAGTCTGGTTCTCTGATCCACGTGTGCTTTGTGGATCTAGAGAAGACTTATGACTCTGATTGGTGTGTGAGGCCATCGGACGATGGGGTACCTGATGATCTTTAGGACCATCACGTCCCTTTATACCTTAAACAAGTTCATCATCATAAAGTCTTTCTGTAGGTTAAACTCCAGCGGTTTATTCTCTTGCCACCCATTCCCCTCTGGTAGTGACCTATCACTCTAGGTCCCAGCATGCCTTCCAACCCCAAGGTCACACCTAAGGCGATAAAACGATGACAACAGGCTACCGTCTTTCTCTTTTGCAGCTGTCAACGCACCAGACAGGATCTAACATATACCCCTTTCCCAGTGGGGGAAAAACCAGTTTAAACCAGAACAATGGGATTTTAGTGATGGTGGGAACGGCTCACTGACACTTGTCGACACGGGTCAAACGACTCGAAAATTGCCTCGGCTCTGATCGGCATGCTGTGGGAACACCACTGAGCGCAACGTACGGACATCAACACACTGTGCCAGTCGCTCCTAACAAGCAGAAACAACTCTGTTTACTTTCGATAAACCTGGACTAAGCCCTGGCTTCCTTCCATGTTTCTCTCCATTGTTTACATCCCTGAGTTCTGTCACTCATGTGACATCATCAACACTAACCCAGTGTGATGATCTCACACTGCCAGCGAGGGGTTAGACCAGCTTTATTATTCAAATGCTGATCGTTAGGGGGTCGACCAATGTTTATCTTCATTCATTTCATCAATAGCTGGAGTCAACATTTTCAGTAACAAACTGATTAAATTCCTCATAAATAATCCAAATCTTTTTTTTGTTTTGACTTGGTTACTAAATGACTCATTGCATTCAGTCAACCTTAGCTTCAGTTTTCTATGGAGAACAAAGCAGGGGTCCTAAGAGACATTTTCTAAATGTATCAAACAGTTTTTCAAAACTCAGGGAAAGTAAATGTTGTTCAAGTTTACAAAGGAAAACCACCACTTTATAATATTTAGATATATTTATAAATTACGTATCGTTGTCGGGATGTGACAGTAGACCCATCAGAGTTGAGTTCCTCCTCAACCATCCGTATTAAAAGTCACATAAAAAGCTTTATGGATTTTTCTGAACATGTCTTCTATGAGAACCAAGTGGAACCAATGCCAGTTCCTGATCCATACTTGACTCTGCGCGTCGAAGCAGACTCTGATGCTAACACCGTCCCCGTTCTTCTCAGGTCCTGTCTAACGTAGACGAGTTGTTCCAGAGGGACGAGCTGTCCGCTGCTCCTGACCCTGGATGGCCCGACTGCTTCAACTCGGGCGTTTTTGTCTTCAGGCCGTCCAGGAAGACCTACGAAAGCCTCCTGGATCATGCCCTGCACCATGGAAGCTTCGACGGTAAGTCCGAGTCCTCTAGCCACTCGTGCCTCTGTTCCTTCAGAAGAGATCGAATGACAAACCACTTTAAGGCTGAAGGTAGTAGATAGCTCAGACCAGTTCAGGATGTTTTCTCTAACTCGTAGCATGTCGGTTCTAAAAAGTCAAGCTCTTTGGCTTCAATAGCATTGATTAAATCTGCGTTGTTAGAGAAAAACACAGGATTTTATTGTTTCCTTTCTTCTCTCGTGTTGTCAGGAGGAGATCAAGGCCTCTTAAACTCATTCTTCAGCAGCTGGAGCTCCGAAGACATCAGCAAACACCTGCCGTTCCTCTACAACCTGTGTGCTAGCTCCTTGTACAGCTACCTCCCCGCCTTCAGGCAGTGAGTCCGTCTGTCAGACCCACTTTTGCGCGGCCGCATGTACGTCATCTGAAAATGTTTGCTCTTAAATGCCGGCTGCAGGTTCGGACACCAGGTCAAGATCGTCCACTTTGCAGGAGCCGTGAAGCCCTGGAGCTCCCACAGGGAGGATGGTCACTCCCGTGTTCTGGAGCAGTTTGAGTCTTTGTGGTGGAAGGAGCACCACCATCACTCTGCCCCACCAGTGACACCTTCACCCACTCCAAGCAGGCACAGACCAAAGGTAGGGTGGGGTGAAAGCAGGCCTGCACACCGAGGACTGCTCAGAAACTCTCACAGTATTTTTCACTTTCTCTTCAAGCAGGTCCAAGAACAAGGGGTCCAGATGCCGTTCACAGTCAACCTGGACACCTCCAGTTCCCTGCTCGCACATTTTTCTACATCTGATGACAGTTTGCACTCGCAGCCTGAAGAACTGACGGTAGGACAGAGTTCTGACCCCTGACTTAATCTGAAGACCTCCCAAATCCCTGTGTGAGATAGATTAACCAAGGGGAGGGGTGCATCCAGACTAGATGGTGGTTTATCATTGAGCAGTCATTCAAAAATCGCATTAGCCATCAGAGCTCCAGCACATTCAGCCAACCTTTCCTAACAGAGCAGATGAAACGCTCTGGTTCCATATCAGCTGACAGAGAAAAACCCAATCAGAGCAGTGGAAGCTCAGCCTTCTGGAAGTGTAAGAGATACACCAATATACTGACCAGGTTCTTGCGGCCATTTTACACATCGCACTAGAACGATTCCTCTCCTCCTATCGGCGGTTCACGATACTGCAGCTCTCAAGGCGGGAATTACGCAAACAAAAATGGACGTGATCAAAACATTCAGGAACTTATGTTTGTTTATATTGCTGATATTTCGTCCTTTGCGGAATGCCATGTGAAGAAGGCATTCCTCTTTGTCTTGGCACCATCCCAGGTCGCACCATGCTTTTTAATGCCATTTATTGCTAATAGGCTGAGAAGAAATTGGTGTTACTAAGCCAGACACGTCGGAAAACCCGTAAAATGAGTCAGCTGATGGTCAGGAGATGTCATGTGCTCTTTGTTATCAGAGAACCCAGCCAGAACCGAACCGTGGCAAGTCCTACTGTTAAACTACTACTAGATGTTGTGCGGTTGTGTCTGGTACTGTCCAGTTCAGTTGCGTTACTTTTACACTTAACTGTCACCTTGGTTACAGTGCTCGGACCATTCTCTGCACGGTTTCAAAAGAGTAGTGGAAATGTGGTATAAGCGGAGCTGGTGAAGATTCTCAATCATCCAGGTCATAGTCATTCCAAAAGAGTAAAAAAAAACAATCCACTGGACAGTGACTGAAATGCTTACATTTTGGACAAAGACAAAACAGGTGGTTTGAGAGGGGCGTGAAGGAAGAAATCTTTGTTAAGAAAGAGAAAACAATCTTAAACAGAGGGGGTGGACTCAGGTTTCAGTTTTCAAAATGCAGCGATAGAGGTGATCCCCCCTGCTATCATCGCAGCCCCAACCTCTTTAAGGGGGAACAGAAGACCTCGCCTATTCAGCCAGGCCAATAATGCCCTTTATCGACCCCCCTTAAGAGACATAGACAGGTATGGGGCATTGCAGGCTAACAAAGAAGCCAAACGACCCCCATTCCAAAGGGGGGGACCCGTTCATCCGTTTCTATTTGCATGTTTTCTAAACTAAAACAAGGCTTTGATGGGCTGCTGGATAAAACCTGGAACTAAACGCTATTTCTGACATTTTGAATGATCACTTAGCACTATGTCTTATTCAACCTTTCTGCTCAATTAAAATTAACCCAACATGCTCAAAAGAAGCGCGACTTTGGCTGTAGGTGGTGGGCAGAGAGAGATCATAGAACCTTTACGGTCAGAATCTTCCAGGCCTAGAACCAGAGACCCTCTGCCTGCACCTAGAAGTCCAGTCCATGGGAGTTATGAACGGAAGGGGTGGAAACAAGATGTGCTTATTGGTGTTATTTCCCTCCAGCTCCATGAGACAGGTGGTATTACGCTAAACCCTCCACTGATTAGGAAGGTCTGCACCACTTATCTGTCGATCCAGTCCTCCTGGACTGGACCTTATTAGCAGAGCAGCTCATATTGGAATACATCATGGTAATTATGATGGCTGCTTATTAGAGAGACCCAATGGCTGCTACTAGTTCCAGTAAATCCGACTCTGCTCGGCTGCACCTCCAGGAGGCAAAAATACCAAACTTCTCTCACATTTCCACTCAACACTCTGGTTTAGAAGAGTGGAACCAGTCTGTGGACAAACCGATGTGTCTTTTGACTGCTGACCCACAGTAACAGGACTGTAACATGACTGCCATGTCTAAAGTCTCCCCACAGAGACAGCTGCCCCCCACAGAAGGAGTCCAGTGTCCGGGAGGAGAAGTCCCCCCACCTGGAGAAGGAATCAGCAGTCCCAAACGAGAAGAAAGCATTCCAGGAAGAGAGGACGACATTCCGGGAAGAGAAGACGCCATTCCCGGAAGAGAAAACGGCATTTCCGGAAGAAAAGACAACACTCCCGGAAGAGAAGTCCCCAGTCCCGGAACAGAAGTCCCCAGTCCTGGAAAAGGAGTCAGTGGTCCCGGAGAAGGAGTTCCAAAAACCAGAGCCAGCAGCAAGCGCTGATTCGCCATCAGGAGCTGTTGGGGTGAAGGACAGCGGCGGCGCCGCGTACCGTGATGATGAGCCGGTAGGAAAAGTTGTTTCCTTTCCATCTTCTTTCTCTATTGAACTCACCTGAAGACGGACAGGTCAGATCAGAGGGACAGAATCAGAACCAGAGGGACAGAATCAGAACCAGGGGGACAGGTCAGATCAGAGAGACAGAACCCGAACAAGAGGGACAGGTGAGACCAGAGGGACAGGATCAGAACCAGGGGGACAGGTCAGACCAGAGGGACAGAATCAGAACCAGGGGGACAGAATCAAAACCAGAGGGACAGGTCACACCAGAGGGACAGAACCATAGGGACAGGTCAGACGAGGGACAGGTAAGACAAGAGGGAAAGAATGTAAACCAGAGGGACAGGTCAGACCAGAGGGACAGAACCATAGGGACAGGTCAGACGAGGGAAAGGTAAGACCAGAGGGACAGAATCAGAACCAGGGGACAGGTCAGACCTAGAGGGACAGGTCAGACAAGAGGGACAGAATCAGAACCAGGGGACAGGTCAGATCAGAGGGACAGGTCAGACAAGAAAGACAGGTCAGAATCAAAGGGACAGAATCAAAACCAGAGGGACAAACCCAAAGGGAAAGGTCAGACCAGAGGGACAGAACCCGAACAAGAGGGACAGGTCAAACCAGAATGACAGAATCAGAACCTTGGAGACAGGTCAGACCAGAGGGACAGAATCAGACCAGAGGAACAGAATCAGAACCAGAATGACAGAATCAGAACCTTGGGGACAGGTCAGATCAGAGAGACAGAAACCGAACAAGAGGGACAGGTGAGACCAGAGGGACAGAATCAGAACCAGGGGGACAGGTCAGATCAGAGAGACAGAACCCGAACAAGAGGGACAGGTGAGACCAGAGGGAGAGAATCAGAACCAGGGGGACAGAATTAGAACCAGAGGGACAGGTCAGACCAGAGGGAAAGAATCTAAACCACAGGGACAGGTCAGACCAGAGGGACAGAACCATAGGGACAGGTCAGACGAGGGAAAGGTAAGACCAGAGGGACAGAATCAGAACCAGGGGGACAGAATCAAAACCAGAGGGACAGGTCAGACCAGAGGGACAGAACCATAGGGACAGGTCAGACGAGGGACAGGTAAGACCAGAGGGAAAGAATCTAAACCAGAGGGACAGGTCAGACCAGAGGGACATAACCATAGGGACAGGTCAGACGAGGGACAGGTTAGACCAGAGGGAAAGAATCTAAACCAGAGGGACAGGTCAGACCAGAGGGACAGAACCATAGGGACAGGTCAGACGAGGGAAAGGTAAGACCAGAGGGACAGAATCAGAACCAGGGGACAGGTCAGATCAGAGGGACAGGTCAGAAAAGAAAGACAGGTCAGAATCAAAGGGACAGAATCAAAACCAGAGGGACAAACCCAAAGGGAAAGGTCAGACCAGAGGGACAGAACCCGAACAAGAGGGACAGGTCAAACCAGAATGACAGAATCAGAACCTTGGAGACAGGTCAGACCAGAGGGACAGAATCAGACCAGAGGAACAGAATCAGAACCAGAATGACAGAATCAGAACCTTGGGGACAGGTCAGACCAGAGGGACAGAATCAGACCAGAGAGACAGAATCAGGACCAGAGGGAAAGAATCAGAACCAGGAGGACAGGTCAGACAGAGGGACAGAACCAGAACCAGAGGGACAGGTGAGACCAGAGGGACAGAATCAGAACCAGGGGGACAGAATTAGAACCAGAGGGACAGGTCAGACCAGAGGGAAAGAATCTAAACCACAGGGACAGGTCAGACCAGAGGGACAGAACCATAGGGACAGGTCAGACGAGGGAAAGGTAAGACCAGAGGGACAGAATCAGAACCAGGGGGACAGAATCAAAACCAGAGGGACAGGTCAGACCAGAGGGACAGAACCATAGGGACAGGTCAGACGAGGGACAGGTAAGACCAGAGGGAAAGAATCTAAACCAGAGGGACAGGTCAGACCAGAGGGACATAACCATAGGGACAGGTCAGACGAGGGACAGGTTAGACCAGAGGGAAAGAATCTAAACCAGAGGGACAGGTCAGACCAGAGGGACAGAACCATAGGGACAGGTCAGACGAGGGAAAGGTAAGACCAGAGGGACAGAATCAAACCAGGGGACAGGTCAGATCAGAGGGACAGGTCAGAAAAGAAAGACAGGTCAGAATCAAAGGGACAGAATCAAAACCAGAGGACAAACCCAAAGGGAAAGGTCGACAGAGGGACAGAACCCAACAAGAGGAAGGTCAAACCAAATGACAGAATCAGAACCCTTTGGGGAAGGAAACCGAGGACAGAAAACAGACCCGAGGAACAGAATCGAACCAAAGACGAACAGAACCTTGGGGGCAGGTCCCCGGGGGC